GTGTGACAGTTCTATCTTATATTTCGCTGGTTTTGTTTTCCATCTCTTTAACTCTGTTCGTTTTCCTCTCCATCATGTTGACAGCATCTGAAACATTGGACCTCATAGTTTGGATTGTGGTTTCTTGTTTTTCCAGAGCCTCTCATGCCTCATTTGTTTTATCTGCATTGTTTTGGATTTTTTTTAAAGCACTTTCTGTTTTTTGCTTGTAGTGTTCTGTAATTCTTCAAGTTTTTCCCTCGTCCATTGAAAAATATTCAATCGTTGTTCCTTTAAATTCTGTTTCACAAAGTTCCATTAGAGTTTCTGGCTTCAGGAAATCCATTAACACTATGTCACTTTTTCTGGGTGATATCTTGCTTTGGGCTTGCTTTTGGGTTGTGAGGTAGCTTGCTTCTTTTGTGAAATTGCTATGGTAGTTTTTCCATGCCTGAGGTGATCTTCTTGATCTGAAGACACTTCACCAGAAGAGCATGGATGCCCAGAGGGTGAACACATGCACAGACACACACCGGGGCGGGGGACAGGAGGAATTCATGCAGACCTGAATGGAAAATCAGGAAGCCTTGATTTTTCCCTTTGAGAACTGGGTCTGCCACCCCAGTTGAGTTCCAGCTCTCCCACTCCCTCTTGCTTAAGGTGAAGTGGTTGAGATATCATTTTTGTTGAAAAGAATGATAACATTCTGAAAATTCTTACTTGATAGATCAGACTGTAGAGTTTATGACTGAGGTTATATCTACAACATAGTAGATATTCTAAATATATTTTGTTAAGAGGCAAATGCATTTTGTCTGTAGAGAAAAATAAATTTTTAAAAACATGGCTGCATTCAAACATTGGCTATGAATTCAGTCTATCAGCATTTCCCCCTAACTATGGTGGTATTAACATTGCCTGTGTTGTAGTGGTAGACCCGCCTTTATCTGTTGGTGTGTCAGACTGTATTGAGTTACATGTTGCTGTGATGCTGGGAGTTAAGTCATCAGTATTTCAAATAGCAGCAGGGTCACCTATAGTGGGCAGGTTCCAGTAGAGCTTCCAAGCTCAGATAGACTTAGGAAGGAAGACTGACCATCCAGTTCTAAAATTATTGCCCAGTGAAAACTCTGTGATTAGAAGCAGAAAGTTGTCTGTGGTAGTACTGGAAGATGAGTCTCTCAGGTTGGACAGCACTTAAGGTACAACTGGGCAAGCTCTCCCTCCTCAGAGTATAGTCTGTCTTAATAATGCGGATAGAGTAAAGTTTACTAAAGGTCTTCCTTGGCTGAGGGAATAGGAAATATTTAATGGGAATTTGAATAGACATTGTAATATTAGGCATAGATCAATGTTAATTATATGGGTTACAGTGTATGAATGATACTATGAAACACAAAATAAATGAGTAATTATAACACAGTGTATATGAATGAAACACAATGTACATGAATTATGTGAAAATCAATAAAAATACTTAAAAAATTAAAAAAATCTTTATTTGCTTATATGACTGGACTAAAAATTAAGATAAACATCAATTAAAATGACATACAAAGTGTGAATCTAGTTAAATTATGAGTTTTCAGAAATGAAATGGAACATGTAAAGATACAATATCAACTCATAGTCATTGTTGTGGACTTGGAACTGACTTACAGGTTTTCAGAGGCTGTAAATTGCTCAGGAGGAGATTGTCCCCCCCCCCCTTCAGGGAAGCTGGTGAATTTGAACTTGTGCTGGTTGGCAGCATAACTCCTTACCAACTTTTCGGTCAGAAAGCATTAGTGAGCTGAAATGGACTGGTGTTGCCTATTTTGGATCAGACAGTCATAATGTACTATGCTGGAAATGAAAAATTGAAGAGGAGTGGTGTTGCATTCATCATAAAAGAAGACCATTTCAAGATTTATCCTGAAGCTCAGTGCTGTCACTGACAGGATAATGTCCATAAGTATACAAGGAAAACCTGGTAATACGACTGCTAATCAAATTTACTTACCAACTATAGAAGCCAAAGATGAAGAAGCTGAGGGTTTCTACCAACTTCTGCAATCAGAGATTGATCAAACATGCAATCAAGATGCATTAATAACAGCTGGTGGTGGGAATGCACAAATTGAAAACAGTGAAGGGCTGGTGATTGAGAAATATGTCCTCCATGACAGAAATGAAATAAGACATCAAACAATAGAATTTTGTACAATCAATGGTGTGATCATTGCAATAGTCTTTTAAACAACAATATATGCTGACCTCACCATATGGAATTCATAGGAATCAAATCAACTACATCTGTGGGAAGTGACAACAGGGAAGCTCAATAGTCAGAACAAGGCCAGGAGCTGACTGTGGAACAGGCCACCAATGTACAAGTTCAAGAAGAAGCTGCAAAAATGAAAACAAATTCAAAAGAGTTAAAACCAAGTGGAGTTTCCCTGTCACATTTAAATTTAGAAATAATTTCTAGAGTAGATTTGATGTATTGAATAGTAATGACAGAAGTCCTGATAGGAGACTAGTAGGATGACTTCAAGGATATCATATGTGAAGAAAGCAAAGCATTATTAAAATTTCAGGAGTGGGAGGAAAGGGCCATAATTGATACCAGAAATGATTCTGAAATTTGCTCTAGAATATAGAGACACTAAAGTGAATGGAAGAAAGAAAACTGAACAGAAGATTTCAAAGGGGAGCTGGAGAAGAGAAAGTAAAAATAGTATTATAAGATGCACAAAAACACCTGCCTTAGAAAAGCAAAAATGGAGAATAGTCATGGCATTTCCCAAGATGAAATAATGGAAAAGACAAATTTAAGGCCTCAGGTGATAACAGTGAAGGGTTCTTTGGGTAAAACATTGAGCACGGGAAGCATCAAAAGAAGAGAGAAGATAGAATCACTGTAATGGGAACAATTAGTTGATGCTCCACGATTTCAGGAAGTAGCTTATGATGAAGGATCAGTGGCATTGATAGAAGTCCTGCTTTTGCTCAAGGCATAGGGAGAAAACACAACTCCAGAAATTAATGAAATATCATTTGAAAAGTTTCAGCAAATGGATATTTGAAAAAGTGTAGCCAGAGGTATTTACTCATCAGTGCCAAGAAATTTGGAAGACAGCTACCTGGCCAACTATTTATATTTGTGCTCATTTCAAATAAAGTTGATCCCACAGAATGTAGAAATAGTTGAACAATATCATTACTATCACAAGTAAAATCTTGCTAAAGATAATTTTAAAATGGCTGGAGCAGCACATTGACAGAGAACTTCCAGAATTTTAAACTGTGTTCAGAAAAGACTGTGGAACAAGGGATATCACTACTGATGGATCTTTAGTGAAAGCAGAAAATAATAGAAATACGTTTTCTTGATGATGCAGAGATATTTGATTATGGGGATCTTAACAATTGATGGATAACTTTGAGAAAAAGAGATGTTCGAGAACACTTAATTATGTTCCTGAAAAACCTACAAATAGCTTTAAGAAAAGCCTTTTTTGATTTTGAGTCAATACTGGCTCATAGGTGACTCTCTAGAGGGATTTTAGAATCTGTAAATCACATGGGGGGAGATTGCCTACCTAGGAGCAGCTGGTGGATTCAAACTGTGTACCTTGAGTTATCAGTACAACTTCCTACTGACTAGACTACCCAGCTCAGTACCTTAAATAGCTTAAGTAGCAGTCATTTGAACATAATAGGATACTGCATGGTTTAAATTCATGAAAGGTGTGCATTTGGGTTTTGTCCTCTTCACCTTACCTGTTCAGTCTGTATATAGAGTAATCTGAGAAGCCACGTTATATAGTGAAGAAAACAACATCGGTATTGGAAAAAAACTCATTCACGGCCTGAGCTCTACGGATGACCTAGCTTTGCTTGCAGAAAACAAAGTAGACTAACACACTTATTGAAGACAGAAGAGTATAGTTTTCAGTATGGATTCTACCTCAACAGAAAGGAATAGAAACCTTGTAACTGGACCAGTAATCATCATCATAAAATGACTGAAGTTGTCAAGGATTTCATATTACTTGGCTCCATAATCAATGCTCATGGAAACAGAAGTAAAATCAAAGATATATTGCGTGGGCAGATCTGCTGCCAACAATGTCTTTACTTTGGGGACTAAGGAGTGCCTGACCCAAGCCATTGTACTTTTACTCACCTTATTGAAACCAAGTATTTTGAAGCTTCATCTGACATACTTTGGCCATGTTGCAAGGAGGGACCAGTTCTTAGAGAGGGACACAGCATAGGAGAGGAAGACCCCGGATGAGATGGATTGACACAGTGACTGGGGTAATGGGAAATAGGTGTGTCTGAGACAGAGATTGGCTCGTGATAGAGCAGGGTTCATAGCTGTTGCACATAGGGTCACTATGAGTCACAAGCGACTCCATGACACATAACAGCAACACTAATTACATATGAAAAGTGGACAGTGAGTAAGGAAGGCCAACAAATTGATGCCTTTGAATTGTATTGGTGAAGAGTATTGACTAGACAGTTGCCAAGATACAAAGCTGTTTTGAAGGAAGTGGAGCAAGAAAGCTCCTTGGAAGTGAGATTGTGAGCTCTCAAAACTCATTGCTGTTGAGTTTTGAGACAACCTGCTCATAGCTGACCCTGCAGTGGGTTTTTGGAGGCTGTAAATGACACAGGAGGAGATTGCCCATCTTTCTTCTGAGGAGCCCCTGGCACACAGGAGGAGATTGCCCGTCTTTCTTCTGAGGAGCCCCTGGCACATTTGAACTTCAGAGAAGTGCCACTTTTATGTTAACAGCACACCTCTCAATGGACTGCTCCCCCAGCGCTGTCTAGGAATGTGAGATTAGGATGTTCTTTGGAAGGATCAAGTGTCCGGAGAAGGACATCATGCTTGATAAAGTAAAGGTTGAGTGAACAAGAAGACCGTTCCTGAGATGGCTTGACACCGTAGCTTCAGCAGTGGGTTTAAGCACAGAGAGACTGTGAGGCTGGTGCAGGATGGGCACTGTCGCGTCCATGGAACAGAGGTGCTCTGACTCAGGCTCAACCCCACCTGACAGTAACAACGGCAGTGCTGTAGCGCCACCACCAGTCTAAGCGGCTCTCAGTATACACTGCATATTGCTGGGATGTTGGTAGCTGTGCTGCTGATAAGCGTGGTCGCCCAAGGTGGGTAGGTTTCATTGGTGCTTCCTGTCTGAGACACAAGAGCAAGAAAGGCCTGACTTGCTGTTTGGTTGTGAAACTTGATGGATCACAGCAGGATTTTGTGTGACTGGTTTATTTTGGGTGTCTGGAGGGTTCAGTCACTAGAAGAGAGGACGCCGGGCTTGATGAATTTGAGGGCCAAGAAGTATGAGAAGGAGCCATGGTGAGATGGACTGGCGTGATGGGCCCAGCAAGGCCAAGGCAGCAAATGTTTCATCCTGTTGTACGTATGGCTGTAATGAGTCACAGTCAACTTCTGTCTCTAGTGCTGCTGTCATAGAAATACTACAAACTTTAGCAATCAGAAATGTCTCTTCTTACAATTTGTTGTTGTTGTTAGGTATGTTGAGTTGAGAACAGCCCATAAAGCAACCGTATCAACAACAGATCTGAACTCTGTCTCATTCCCTGTCATCCTCACCATCTCTCATATACTTGGTCCCATTGTTGCAGTCAGTGTCAGTCTGTCTGGTGGAGTCTTCCTCTCGGTTGCCAGCCCTCCACCTTTCCAAGCATGATGTCCCTCTAATAGCCTCCCCTAGCAACGTGTTAAAGTTTCTGAGATGAAGCTTTATCTTTGCCTCCAAGGAGCACTCTGGCAGCACCAGAGATGTCTCTCTTTGTTCTTTTGGTCATCCATGGGATATCCATACTCTTCAGCAGCACCACAGTGCAAAGGCCTCAATTCTTCTTCTATCATTCTTTTTTATTGTCTAGCTTTCAAATGTGTAACCATTGAAAAGATCATAGCCTGAATCAGGCACAGCTGAGTTCTCAGACTGACATTGTTGCTCATCAGGAATTGGAGAGGCACCTGACTGCAGACTTTCCCAGTGCAGTACATCTCCTGGCTGCTGGTACATAGGGTGTTGATTGTAGATCGAAGTAATTGACAGTATCAATCTTTCATCCATCTCTCATAATGTTACTTATCTGTCCAGTGGTGAGAATTTTTGTTTTCCTGATATTGAGATGCAATCCATATTCAGGGCTGTTTGTTGGGTTTGGTTTTTTTCTGTTGTTGTTTTGTTTTGTGGTATTCTGTACCATCAAATTGGATCTGACTGACACAGGAGGAAATTGCCCCTCCTTCTCCAGTAGAGCATCCAGTGGATTTGAACCATGTGCCTTCGGGATTGCAGTGCCGTTTCTTGCCACTAGGCCACCAGCGTTCTCTTTGAAGGCTGTTTTCTTTGATCTTCTTCAGCAAGAACAAGTCCTTCTTACTTTCAGCAACCAAAGTTGTGCCATGTAGGTTATTGATGAGTCTTCTCCCGATTCTGATGCCACATTCTTCATAGAGTCCAGCTTCTCATATAATTTGCTCACCATACTAACTGAATAGGTGTATAGAGAAAATACAACTTTGATGCATACTTTTCTTTCTTTTTTTTTTTTTTTTGAGGATTGTGAAAAGCTCTTTTATTTAATTGGAACAATGATGCATACTTTTCTTAATTTTAAACCACGTAGTTAGTGTTCCTTTGCTCTGATCACACAACAACCTCTTGGTCTAGGTATAGCACAATTAAATGTCGAGATTTCTATTCTTCTCAATGTTAGCCATAATTTGTTATGATCCATACAGTCAAATGCCTTTACATAGTCAATAAAACACAAAGAGATGATAATCTGGTATTTTTGCTTTCACCCAGGATTCATATATCATCAGGAATGATTTCCCTGGTGCCACAGCCTCTTCTAACCAGCTTGAACATCTGGCAGTTCTCTGTCAGTGTACTGTTCTAGTCAGTTTTAAATGATTGTCAGCAGTGTTTTGCTTCCATGTGATATTAATTATATTGTTTGGTAATTCCACATTCTGTTGGATCAACATTCTTGGGAATGGAAACAAATATGGATCTCTTCCAGTCATGTAGCCAGGCAGCTGTCCTCCAAATTTCCTGGCATCGATTGGTGAGCACATCCAGGACCATATCTGTTAGTTGACATAATTGGTATTCCATAAGTTATGGGGGGCCTTATTTTTTCCAGTGCTTTCAATGTAGCTTGAACTCCATTACCACTGGCTCAGATCAAATGGTACTTGCTGAAGTACTTCACTGTTGGCCAATCCTTTTTCATACAGTGATTCTGTGTGTTCCCTCCATTTTCTTTTGATGCTTTCTGGATCAGTCAAGATTTGCCCATTACAACTCTCAGTATTGCAGCTCAAGGCCTGAATTTGTTTTCAGTTCTTTCAGCTTGAGAAATGCTGAGTAAGTTCTTTCCTTATTATTCTCCAATTCCAGCTGTCTGCACATTCCATTATAAAACTTTGCTTTGTCTTCACAAGCAGCCGTTACAATTTAAGAACCTAGAATTTAGAAGTCTTTATGCTGACTCAGATGGTAGGCCTTTTTTCACTGTCAGTCAGCTCTGGGGGAACATTCAGTTTCCATTTCCCTGTTCCTTAGAAATCTCCGTGTGACTTAGCATCTGTTTTTCTTAATCTCTACTTTTTTAATGGTTGCCCAGGGTGAACAGTGTTTGTTGGAGCTCCCTGAGTAAAACAAGCTTGGAAGCAGGAGGGGTATCCACTTCCGAAGTAGCTTGCCTCTGGAAACTCTTTGAACGTGGAGAAATGATGAAAGTTATACAAGTATTCAGGTCTTTCATTCATAGGTCATTATGAGTCGTCTCTGACTCAGCGGCACTTAACAACAACAGCAACATAGAACTCTGTTGGCCTAATGAACAGAAAGTGATGCTACCAAGCCAAAGGTGGGTGATTTTTATCTGCGGCCCTTGGGTCTGGTTTTAATTGTTTTTTGTCAAATATTCTTCTAAGTGGTACAGCACTGGTATGTTCATTTGCTGTACAGAGGTAACTCGTGGTTGCTGTGATGCTGAACACTGGAACGCTGCTGTGTCAAATGTAATAATGGTTACCCATGGTGGACAGTGTTTGGTGGAGCTCCCTGAAAAAAAAACCAACACAGTTGGAAACAGGAGTGGCATCCACTTCTGAAATAGCTTGCCTCCGGAAACCCTGTGAACTTGGAGAAAGAATGAAAGTTATACAAGTGTTCAGGTCTTTCGCTCATAGGGTTGTAAGAGTCATATGTGACTCGAGGGCACTTAACAGCAGCAGCAACAACAACAACAGTTCCTTCCAGCATCCCACAGCTGACTGACTTAAACACAGCCTATACTGATATGACCTCTTAACATAATAAAGCAAGCCCTTTCCTAAATGAGATTATAACCTCAGGTAACTCATAACAAAATCCAACTCAGTGTTTGAATCAGAACAGACTCAAAGCTGGCCCTCCATTGGGCTTCTCAGGCTGTAAATCGCATGGGAGGAGATTGCCCACTTCTCCCTCAGAGCTGCTGGTGGATTTGAACTACTAAAGAGGTGTGGCTTTTGAGTTAGCAGCACAGTTTCTTAGGAACAAGGCCCCTGATCTTAGATATGTTATGTTGTGTACCATTGTGTCAAAACAGACCTATAGCTGACCCTCCAGCAGGTTTTCAGAGGCAGTTTGAGAGGAGATTGCCCATCCTTCTCCCGCAATCTCAGATAAAAAAGTTAGAATTTACAATATATATTTTTTGGGGGACAGAATCCAGTCCATAATACTCTCCATTCCTTTATCAGTCCATCCATTTATCCATCCATATTGTGGAGTTGATACTGAGTCCTGTAGATTTAGAAATCCTGAAAGAAAATCAGGTTTCCATAGTAGCATTTTCAAAGATGTTTGTAATTATGGCCTGAGAAGAGAAAAGGTCTGGTCTTTCACCCTCCTGATATGCAATATTGGTCTGACCTTTCCCTTTCTTACATTTGTAACTTCCTGTATAGTGTGATGTTCCCTTGAAAGCAGATTATGTGCATTTCTCCCAAAAATCAAGTCATTGACCCAAGCGTTGGTATGTCATATGAGCAATAGGCAGTGTACCCCAGGTTACATTTTAGGGAAGGGTGTTTACATCATGGAAATCCACAAGTGCTACAGATCAGCTTCCTCCTGACCTGACTGTTAAACATTTACTGGTAAATCACTGCACATTCTTTTCTTTCTTTCTTTTTATTTTTTCCTTGCTGAATTTATTTCGTCTAAAACCCACACCATTATTAGAGTTAGGTGCTGTAGTTTAAAAATTCTGTTTAAGTAATTTCAGTCTTTATTTAAATCATGTCTCCAGCTTTACATTTTATTTTATGGCTTTGGATAGCTCTAATGACTGGTTAACACAATTCACTTTGGTAGATTGCTCACTCATTTGTTCATTGTACATTTTCTCCTGTGTTTACTTTCCCATAACGGCATTTGCTTTGGAAAGGAGTATAATTTTTCTCAAAAATAAACCATGGCGTACTGCTCTCTATACCAGATTTGTCATGGAGAGGATATCTGTGTCGGAATTCCTGCTGCTTTTAGCCTTGTCTTATTCTCTGACCGAAGATACTACAGGCAAACCTTTTTAGTACTAGCATGGCGTAAATTCAGTTTGAACTGGAAACAGTGAGAGTCTCCACGTTCTCATCTTTGCAAAAGCATATTAGATCAGAGAAAGCAGTGACAACTGTGTTGTTTGGTTAGAAGTGAGAGGTTACTATTTACATTTAGAGAAGTTGTGTGAGTATGCAGTAAAGCAGGGCCGTCTGCTCATTCTTAGCTTTGCTCTCTTTCTGCTTTTAGAACAAACCAAAGTCAGGAAATTCAGGGAGTCAGACATCTCAGGATAGGGACTTAGATTCTTCCACTTTGTAGCTCTGTGGTATTGATGTTAAGAGCACTCTAACACTAAGTCTAATAGAACCCTTTTCAGAAAGTTGTGAGGATAAAATGATGTCCCAGAACACTTGATTGTGTTCATGCTATGCCTGTTCTTGGACCAGGAAGCAGTCCT